ACACTCGAGAAGTGTCCAGAAGCACTCCGCTACGCGTCGTGCTTCTCCTGACACTTCTCTCGTGTTCTGCCAACCCCCGCGTGCTTTATGACAGCACACAGCACGCGCTCGCGTTTTCTTCCTTCATTATTATTATTTATTTATTTTACAATTTCAGTTTTACATATTGAAAGAATACATATATATATATACACAAAATAAAGAAAAACAAAACAAAAAACCAAACAAAAAAAACAAACAAACAAACAAAAAAAACAAAAAAAAACAAAAATAAATTTAGCGTTCGCCTAAGCGACCAAGGTTTCATTTCAGTCCGGACTCAGCGTGTCGAGTGTGATTAGAGTTTCTTGTTGGCTCTCTACTGTTCTTCGAAGGTTTTTCTTCAGGTTCTCCGGTTTTCTTCCTTCCGTAAAATTCAACTTCTATACATCACGGAACTTTAAAATTAGCGGGATGAACTAAGGAGAAGAAGAAGAAGGCGAAGAAGAAGGAGTGCCGAGCGGTTTTGAGATTGTATAGCCTTCTCTGAGGAAAGAAAATCTGATTTCTACTAAATGCGATTTTTGGGTTCAAAACGGAATAAAGGAAAGTCTAAACATAAGCTAATTAATTTTTGAAAATTTTACTCTTGCTTAAAAATGGCGCTTCTAACACATACCAACATGACTTGTCGCTGAATTTCCTGACTTCAGAAAATTTACTGAATATTTTCATTAAACATTTTGGATATCTATCTTTAATTTGGTTTTGGTGATTCATGTTTGAAAAAAGAAGACGTGATTTACTCGACTACTGAAGAAATTTGACCGGAAAAAAGATTGAGATTCCGCAGCATTGCAAAAAGGAATTGTATCAATAACTGTTACCTGCAGGTTACACATTTCAACCGCCCTCTTGCACCTGAGTTTCTGGTGTTTGAGATATTTTCTTTGCTGAGACCTCGAAAGGTTTAGTTAACTTTGTCAAGATTGTGATTATAAAGCTAAATTTCGTTTTTAAAACGTCTTTAATTTCACGCACTAAAAACGACTCCATTAGTGGAGACCGGTTTCATTTACTTATAAACATCTTCAGTCAACTTACAAGATCACAATATACATGATAACAATGATGACGAAGTTTCTGGTGTACAAATTCCTTAAAATGAAGTGAAGGACCAGTGATAATAGCTATTGATTGCCTTACCTTTAGAAATGTCTTAATACGTTGCCGCTTTCTATATCTATTTCATTCTGATCTTTTATACTGGTACAAAACTAACGCTCTTGAAAAGTAGTCTTCACTGAGTCTCTGAATTCTGATGAAGTGACTTCAACGGCGGTATCTATTACGACCTTTGAAAATTTGTTTATTTTTAAGTAATTTTATAGAAACACAGTTGGGGATGTGGTTGGCTTTTGAGGCAGCTGAATAGAATTCTATTCTCTAGTTTTGAAATTTTAATTAAAAAAAGAAAGAAAAAAAAAAAAAAATTAGACAAAACTAAACGATTTCAACCACAGGTTAATTTACCTATAGCCGCTTTATAGAAATGTT